CACTGGGCCACTGCTTCCGTTCCCTCTGCACAGATTTGAATCTGACAGCTCTTCAGGGTATCCGTGCCATTCCTGTAGTGTGAGGTTAACATCACATAACCTCCGCTGCATTCGGACCTGTCTGCCGTTCAGCTTAGTCTTCTCACAGCTGAAATCTCTGTCTAGCATGGAGAGCAGGGATATAAAGCCTAATAGAATAGGATGAGCTCCTGGGAGGTTTGACTTGTGGTGAATTCATGAGATAATATACTAAAAGGAATTTAGCACTTGCACTATCTTGAGATATTACTGTCTTTGTTAGGGAACTAAACCGTAATTCCCTGGATTTCTCTCCTGTCATCTTGCCATTTAAAGCAAAGCTTACCATCCTGAGAGACTAATACACCTCTCTTTCTGTAGACCTTGTGAAAGAAAAAGAAGGCCCGTTTTGTGTCTGCCATTTAAACCTTTGTGTAGAACACGCATAATATGATTGTGTCCTTGCTGCAGTCGTATTATTTGTGAGTTAAGAGCATTTGTTGTTTTTCGGAAGTGTAGCAGACGCCAGCTTTCCCTGGTGTGGACAGCTGGCGGAGTCAGTGTCCAGCTCAAGGTCCTCCGCCACGGACTTGTGCCCGGGGAGGAGATGTCCGGCCGTACACCAGAAACCCCAGGAAAATCATTTCGGTCCACCAACCTCTTCCCGTGAGGTTCTTCCTTTGCTCCGCAAGCGCTTCTTCCGAACGTGCCCAGACTGGGACCGCGGGCGTTTCCGCTGCAGGATTGTTTCGATGGCATGACTGGCCACTGGACCGGAGATGGGAGGGATGAGGCCGTTGCAGGAATCGGAGAGGTCCTGCTGTTTCCTCGCGAGCTGCCCTCTCAGCTTCTTCCGCTGGAGTCTAGCGATTCCCCAGTTCCGCCCGCCCGAGTGTTACCACCGTGGAAGTGCTCCTGGGCTCCTCAGGGTGCGATCGTGGCCACAGCAGATATTTCCTCTGGGCAGCAGCATCCCTTGCCTCCTGTGCTTTAGTACACTTATTCTGTCTGAGCCACCGCCTGCCACAAGAAGCCTCCCATTAGCGCAGGGGGCTAGGCACTCGACCCCTCGGTCTTCCGCTTTTGCACACTCGCGAGTTTTACCACCCTTAGGATTCCTCACTCACAGGAAGAGCCATTTTAATATGTATATGAGTAAACCATCCACTGCCACCTGGGCCGTATTAAGATCAAAGTCAGGTGGGAACATGCATAGGTACATTATGTTTTTATTTGAAATGCATTACCCGCCTTGCTCAGCCAATATCTGAAATCTAAATTGAAAATCACCCCCAACAGGATTTAATTTAAAAGCTTTGAAGGTATTTATACAGTATGAGTCCACCTGGAATCACACCAGACTGGGTAGCTGGACCACAAGGGGTATTATTTATGCAGCTCCTGTTGGTTTATAGATAAGGACCACCGCAGTTTAAAGACGGCAGCTTTAGAACTGTTAACCTTTCGACACACAGTAGGCAGAGGAGTGTAATAAATATGCTAACATAATTAAAATAATAGCCTGGTTAGATGCTCTTCCTCTGCCACCAAATTTACGGTGATAATAGGGTTCAGTTCATCAAAGACACAAGTGTCTAGGCTACCATGATGAAGATGATTATTATGTTATTTTAGATAACATCATGCATGCAAAGTGATGTCTTTGTTAACCACCACTAATAAACAAGAAACTTTGCTGTTTTTTTAAAGTGAATTGAGGTACTGTATTTAAAGTCTTCATTTTCCTGATTGGCAGTAAAGTGTTTTATCGGTTCGTTGGGAGACATGAGGCGGAGAAAATGAAGGAGGAATAAGGGATGTTTAGGGCTGGAACCCTGTTCCTTTAACTCGACAAGCTGGGTGAGCAGAGTGGCCTTGTTTCGTAGACAAACTTTCTTTTGTCCAGTGTTGCACATGGAGTTGTGTTTTGAACCCTGCGGGGTTTAGACAAGGATTAACACAAGAGGTTTCTCTCTGCTTAACCTGTCTCCACTGCATCCTCTCTGACATTAACTTAATAACCTTTTAAATGTTGTCATCTGATAATATGAGAATCAGAGAAATTTATAGCTTATAGTCACCCATTCACCAATGTTTTGTTTACTGTTTTCCAAAACATTGTATTTTGTACTGAATTTAACATTACATGTGGAAGAAGTTAGTGAATATCTAGTCATCCATGCATTACCTGAATGAGAGGGTGTTACTGCAGGGAAACAATTCAGTGGCACTAATTGACCAGGAAAGGGAAGCATGTCCAGGGGAGGTGGGAGTGATCCAGTGTGTACGCAGGAGGAGCACGCAAACTCCACACAATCCAGAGTTTAACCCAGGACCCAAGAGCTGTGAGGCTGCAGTGCTAACCTCCACAGTACCGCACTGTCACAAATCGGACTATTGAGTTAATAATGTACAAGCATGGCCACATGAATTTAACTCATCAGAGTGGGAACTGTACTTCTAGCCCCCCTCCCTCTTCAGAGCCTCAGCTGGGTGCAAAAGCAGCATGGAGGCACCTGGAGAACAGCAGAGATGTTCTTGGAAACCTGATTGGCAGCCCAGATGAAGGAAAGCCTGTCCTCCCCCGCTGTGATCCAAACCACGGGGCTCAGGGCTCAAGATTGAGGAGTCGGGAGTTCAGGGTTCAAGGTTCAGGGTTCAGGGTCAGGACTTGGAGGTCAGGGCTCAGGGCTCAGGCAGGGCTCAGGGCTCATGGCTCAGGTTGGACTTGGAATCCAATTTTCATGTGATTTGTGATGAGCACATAACATGTACAGTAGATAGCATAATGTCACCAGTGTTACATGCAAATAATTGTAGTATCATACCCCTGGGTTTGCTAGGTGCCTTTATGTACAAGGCTTTTGTTTTATTTTGTTACCACATGAAATTTTTTGCAAAATATTTTTCTTTCAACAGTCCCGGTGTACGTATTGTACCTAGCCCAAATACAAAGATCGCGGTTTGCAGTTTTCTCCATTTTCCCTTTAGAAAGACAGAGTCTCTTGTTTTGTTTTGTTTTTGTGGTAAGCATTTTCATCATTTTAATTTGTTTTCATTTTACTTGCCAGAGGAACTGTTTGCGGTGTAGCTGCTGTGTTTAAAAGCTCCTGTTAGACTCAGCAGAAAAGCAGAAAAGTGTGCCTGTTAACAGAGAAATAACTTTCGCAATACTTTGTCACACAGCTCAAAATGTAATTGCTGTCATGGAAATGAGTTTAAAATTTACCCATTGAGGCTCAGATTTGAATAGAATTTTATCATTGTATTTCCACAGTGCCCCTCATAAATGAAAATCATTACAACAGGACTTATTGCAGTTCATCTCCCGTTCAGCAGATACAGAGGTTAACAGAGGCAGCATCACTTACATACTTGCTAACCCTCGCTAATCACTGGAGACAGTCGCTTTGAGGTAAAGAGGTCCAGTTCATACTCTTCTCTTTGAGCTACAGTATCGTTTGTTTCTTACAAGTGGTACATTGACATTGCATTATACTCAAGTACATATATGGTATGCAATGTGAATGAAAATGTTTTTAAAAGACACTAGTTTTAAGTTTTAAGACGTACTATAAACCTTTGTTTTCATATTAGTTTTGACTGTTCATTAGCGCATCTGTTTGTTCATTGAAGTTGGATCAATGTGTAGTTGCTTCTCCCAGGAGTGGAGTGTGCTGTACCAGTGCTCTCAGAATTAGCTTTTGGTTTTGTGTTCTATTCCTTATCATACTTTATTATTGCTATCGAGTCTGTTTTGTGCCCTAACAGGTGAAAGCTTTAATGCCACTTTAATGTCAATCCACTAGCAAACAGGACACAGTCCTATTACTTGAAACTGTGGTTTGTGCACGTTTATTCACACAGAGCTGTATGGAAGTCAAGATATTCCAAGACAAGAGCTGATGTTCCACAAATGCTGGGTCAAATCACTTAACAAAAAATAAGTATCATGGTTCAGAGTGTGCGTCTTTAAGTGTCAAGGAAAAGAACAGCCAATTAACACAAACTGAAACTTGTAGCAAAGTATATAGTCTATAAACATCTTCAAGAAAGTAGCAAAACAGATATTGTTTTTTTAATTTTTTGCTGAACAGATACTGATATGTCCTTTATTTCTTTTGAGAAGTGTCAGATAATGTACTGCATTTAATTTGTGTATAAAACATATGTTTTCTATTAATAGATACAGTCCAGATATTGCAATACGTATCTCCATTCCCAGAGCATATGTTTTTTTAAAAAAGCATACTAATTGTATATTCCAAATAATTGCAAGGATTCTAACTAGAGACCTTCAATATTAACACATGACAAATAAGCAATACTTTGACATTGCACTGCAGTAGGAGTTTATGGAGGGCTTTTTCAAGGCTGAACTGTTCTTAATAGAATGAATCTTTGTGTTTTATAGGAACACACAACAGCAGATAGGAAAGAAAATGCTGGAATTTTATAGTGGTCATGGTCGTTGCTAGGGAACAGTTTTGTAGCAGCCAATTAAAATGAGGCAGATGTGATCATGGGATTCTGTGGTGCAATTCAGTATATGAAGACTGTCAGAATGAAATTATATCACATCACATTAATCCAACAAGTATTAATGGTAGTTATTTAATTGTATTTTACTATTGATATAATAGTAACAGCAAATACAGTGATTTTATTAGAAAGAGAAAAATAGTTTTTAAGGATTGTTTTGTAGGACTATGATCTATTGAACAAAAATTATTATTTGACTGTGGCTGCTCTTAATATTACAACTTTTATATGCTAATTACATGATTAAGAAAAGGTATTGTCACTATGAATAGAACTATAATCTACTCAGTTTATATTAAATACAGAGTTGTCTTGAAGACCTTTTCAAGTAGTGCTGTGACCTGAGCTACAACACAAATAATAAATGGTGAAGGATCATAATATTGTCTTCTAGAATTGCTCCCCATGATAAATTGATTGTGTGGGATTGTGTTTTCTAGGAATGAAACCGACTGAGGCAATTAACTCAAAAACAGCTGTGAGACTCTGTGTTGAAACCAATTTACCCGGTAAGAGAGAAACAAGTTTCTGACACATCACTCCTGTTTTCAGGTGGTGCATGTTGGCCCTTATTAAATGCAAAAAAAACATTTTCAATTATAATAGTAATTTTCATTTGATTGCATAATTGGAATAAACTGAAACTAATGCACAACAATATCAATGCATAAACACTCCCTGATTAATTATTTTCAGATACTCCTATACAATTAAAGACAGATTAAATCAAAACCCCTGCACAATATAAAGAGTTTCTCCCATAGCACAGTAACTTTCCATTTAATACTGGCCTGAATCCTTAGAATCTTTGCATGCAGTTCTCTATGTGTCTCTCTATGTCTATAGAAAGGTGGTTTTCTCTAATATGAGCAGCATTAGTAAATGTTTTTTTTTAAGAATATGAATTTGTACAGTTTGCTAAGTCTGATTTACAATTGTGTCAAAACACCGTAAGACATCAGAACCTAAGAAGTGTATTTTAAACTGAATTTGCACACCTTTCGATCAAGTATTTAGGCAGGCCTTTCCGATGGGATAAATATGTGCCGTGTTAAGTCCCTACTTTTGACAGTCTCATTACCACACATTTTAATAGCTTAGTTTTGTGTTGATTCATGGCTTACAACTCCTTGAGATCAAATGAAACGGGCTACCAAATATTAATCACTAATGCAGTCCCCTGAAAAATTTAATTTCAGTATTAATTTAAAAGCTTCAGACTAAAAGACCCACATTGTTGATATCTTATTCAGTGTATAATCTGATGCAGGTTATATTCATTGTTTGAAAGAGATGCTTTTTATTTTTTATAAAGGAAGTGCCTAGTCAAGTGTGATTGCTAAGACCTTTAGTTTATTAAGACCTGCCTTTGAAATGTTAATGAATTTGCAAGCTTCAGCCTTTTCTATTTTCTTTTCCATTTTGCCTTAAAATATAATATTACATGTCTTTAATACACCAAACCTGTGAGCTTCCTTTATTGATTGTCTGGTATTTGAAGCTTAAGGGCTTCTGGTTGTAAGTTGTTCTCTGGAGGCTGTTTAATGGAAATGCATTACTAAGAATCACAAGCTGTTTCTTCATGATTGATAGTGTTGCTTACAATTTACAAGTCACTGTCCAGAGATAACACCCTGGATTGATGAAGTGCGGCAGATCTCCTGCTCTCCAAAGTGAAAATGAGGAGAAATGTTTATTGCTTAAGTCAACCAATTTAAATGAAATACAGAACGGAGTATGTTAGTTTTTTTAAAGTCCATTTGTGGAGATCGATCTCAACAGAATGTTCAGATCTAATTATTCTATTATTATTACATTTTTCTAAAATCTGATGCCACAGAAACCCCCCTCCCCTGCCCCCTTTGTGCTGCCCTGAGTACACACTGCTGAGTGTCTGAGCCCTAGCAGAACTCTGGGAAGGGGCTGTGTGGCACCCATGTGCCAGAGTTGTTGAATGTGTATTCTAAACGTCATTAGAGACCCAGAGATCTTCACATACAGTATCTGTATCTCTGACCATCCCATCCATGACAGTGATCTACCTTCTGGAAAACCTCATTGTTAAAATGAGTAAGCTGGATCTTACATGGTTGGTTGGTTGATTACTTTTATAGCTACAGTATCTGACAAATGACCGCATCGCAGTGCCAGGAATAGAAGTTGAACCAGGAGCATCAGAGTAGGTTGAACTGTTATCTAATACACATTAATGGCCCATGCATTAAAATTAAAATTTTTGTATGTTAAACTGAAAATTAAATATTGAGAATTGTTAATAATTAACCTCAAAACATCTGGGTTTCAGAAAGCAGCTCTAATACTTGTATCTGCTCACGACTGTGGGTTATTGTGGTAAGTGGACACATTTTCAGTAGAAACAGACACTTGCTCGCCCCTGTTCTGAGAAGTGTGGTTTCATTAGAAGCCCGAAGAGTGTGTGATACTTGTAATGCACTATTGGCTTTGGAAATCTGGAAAATCCTTTAAATTAGCTAACCTTTTTTCTGCTGCTACTTCATGGTCTGCAGTTCTCCCCTGATGGAGTTGTGTGATAAACAGAGGATTATCACAAGTTTGTTTATCTTTTAAAGAATTATATTTTCTATGTCGCTATGTGAGATGTAAATAAAAGTACCTTATTTCAGTGATGTTTCAATAAAAACCTGTTGAAACAGGCAGGTCTACTGCTGACATAAGCTTACAGATGCCTGTATTTCACATTGTTTTTAGTCTTCCAAAAGACTTTAATGGATCAACATAAGACTTGCAACTGTTTATTTTCTTGCGTGTTCCAAGATGAACAAAAAATATTTCCTAGGCCAGCAGAGGCTTGGGGAAAGCTTTTCATTGCTTATTTGATAGGTTTGTGATCGTGAGAGCTGTTAAATAATTTCTGAGTGAAGCAGATTGTGGCGTGCTCTTCACCATCATCTATTCTGATGGAATGCTTTTTGAACGTCAATTAATGTATGCTTCACTGTTTGCCAAATTTAGGGGTAACAAAAGTGATACAGTGCATAAATATTGAATATTCCTACCCAAAAGGGAAAAAAAGAAGATATATCCTTTCTATATGTGCACTTTCTGTGTGTGCAAAACAACAGAAATGTTGTCAGCTTTCCTTTGATGCTGGTAAGGGTGTAAAATACATGTTTATTTAAATAAGATAATATTGACTGACACCGTCTGAACCATTCTGGGGCAGGAGAATAAAACTGCTTTCGGTGGCCAGGGAACTCTGCCCAGGCCCTGTGGAGCAGGGGAATGAGCTGCAGTGTTATGTGGGCCTCCTGAAAGAATTCCGCCCCGCTTCTGATCACCAACCTGGTACCCTGTCTCTTTCAGTTCCCGGGGAGACTCATTATAAAGCTCAGACTGCAGGAAGTAATTAATGCAGAAGGTTTTGATATTGGTTTTGATGCACCAGAGACGGCCAATCGGCCCACTGGTGCGTGAAGACAAAGCTGTGAGTTGAGGATAGAAAGGAGGGCCTGGAGAGCCTGAGTGCTGCCTCCGCTTCTAAAACCCTGCGCAGAGTGCGGATGACAGCCAGCGTGCTTAGCTGCTGTCTTCAAGAAACTGCAGGCTCTTTGAGATACTACTTTTATAGGCAATGTATAAAAATAAAGTTTATTATGGTTAGATTACAATCTGTCTGTCTATGTGCTCGTCAGTCTGTGTACCTTTTTATCTATCTGTCTTCCTGCCTGTTTATGTACCTGTTAGCTGGCTGTATACCTGTCTATCGTCCTGTCTGTCTGTCTACCTGTTTATTTGCCTTTTTACTGTTTTTCTTTATTGATACAAACCTGGATGGTGACGTAAATGAAGACAATCTTCCCTACTCAGTGAAAGTCTGTTACTGCGCTGTTTTATTAAAGAAGCCTTTCTTTAATAAGACACAATATATACTTGTGTCCGGGAAAGCAACACACAAAAAGCCAGAAATGTGTAATAAAAATGTATAATACAGCTCATAAATACATGTGTTGGAAGTGATTATGTTATTTGGTATTAATTTTCACCCATTTATGACTGTAAGAAAATGAATATTCTAAAACATATTACGCAATAAAAACGTAATTAGTATCTCTCAGAAATATGGGCTTAATTGGCTTAAGACTGAGCAGTATTCCAAGAACAGTAAGTGTATTGCAGTGTATAATTAAAAAATACATAAAAAAGAATGAAAATCTCCTGGAAAGCAACTCCAGATTGACACATTGTTTCCAGACGTCTTTTCATGTTCCAGGAATCTTTCTCCTACATGCGTGAAGCCTTGATTCAGAACTGGAAAGAAATCAGAGCAATACACTTTGTTTACAGACTCATCTGCAATTGCTTTAAGAATTTCTGTTGTCTGGAAGCCGAGGTGATTTTTATCATCTTTGAATACACATTTCCACTTTGCCAGTTATATTTTATTTAAGATAATAGAGCATACAAATAATTTTGGAACACCACAAAATGTCCTCTTTTCACGCAAACTATATTTGGGAAAACCGGAATGAATTTACCCAGCATTCCAGTATTTGGGATTGTTAAAATTGTTTCTTACAGAAAGACAGAGAAAAGCACCTGAATATTCCTGTGTATTCTGTCTATAGCCAGAGTACGTTACAAATTTGAGGACATTGTTTTAAAGAATTAGTGAAATTAGTTTTAAGGTTTTACAGTCTTACCCTACAGTTATTCTAGAATTTCCTGGGAAGATGTTTTGAGTTATTAGAATATGATATTGTGCTCAGTCACCCACTTCTCAGATAGCATGAAGTGGTGAAAATCAATGGACTAGTGCTGTATTGTTTGTTTGTGCCAGGGAGTAAAATGACAATTTTGTGATGATGACCAACATTGCTTTTCCATATGAGGGTGAGACTTTACAGTATTTCAATGTGATATATGGTATGAAATTGATGGCACAGATGGAACGTCAAAAGTAAAATTAGACAACTCGTTACAGGTGGATCTCCTCTGCCCAGTAAGTCAGCACTACAAAGCAATGAGGTATTTCAGCAATATGCACCCCGAACTCTAACCCCCCCCACCCCACTCCCCCCCCCCCTTAAAGACGTGCAGCTCGTGTGATGCAGTTGGATCTGACCTCAAGCTGCAATTATATGCTTCCTTGTAAGCCTTTCTCTTCAGATATTTTATAAAATATTAAAAAAGCTCTGTGTTAGAGGCTGAACTGAAATGAAAAGGAGACATATTATATATATATTTCATAATTCTTGCTCGGTTCCTCTTGTCTTGCGCGTTTAAGACCGGAGATGGTGCGAGGGGCTGCAGGAGCTGAAAGGGCCTATTAACTCCATATAGGCTGGAGCGCGAGGGACTGTCAATCACTTGGTCTGCCATTCTGCTGCTCTTTTAGAAATGAAAAAAAAAACAACAACTTTTTTATGTCAGTAGCTTGAACAGAAAATTCCCCATTCCCTTTGAAATGTGCAGTGTCTAAGAAAAACAGATCCTTTTTTCCCAGGCCCCATGATACCAGCAGATGTAG